ACCAACACAACGTTTTACTGTGATGATGGGGTGTACATCGTTAGAAAATAATGCATGTTACTTGAGCTGTAGATCTGTGCAGCTCCTTCAGAATAACCTGGCTCATTGGTTGCATTTCCATTGGATGCTCTTTTTGTCATTTTGGCTGAATGGCAACCTCTTGGTTGGCCTCTCTGACCTACAGTCACACTAATAATGCAGATAGAACGCACTGAAGTTTATATCTGTAACATGACAGAATTGGAATAATTTCAAGGTTAATAAACACTTTTGCAAGGGACTGTAGCAGGGATAGGAATCTCACATGATTCCCAAAAGAATCAGCCTATTTTATTTTAAATAATGGGATTGGAAGAAAGTATTCCTGTCAGAAAATAACGGGCTTCAACTGAATCAAGTCATAAAGGATGTTTTTTGTCAATCAGACTCTTGAAGCTTTAACAGTTTATATATATGTGTGCGTTTCTGATGCATTGTTATTACAAATATAGGTGTGCAATAAATTTAAAGGAGTGATAAGCCAAATTTTACCATTAGGTGGGGCAGTTCAGTACTGTCTGTAGACCAAAACAAGATGTGTGAAAAGCGACTCCTCTCATTATCTCCAACCTCACCTTGACTCCCCCTGGTCTTTAGTTGAATTGCTGTGTTAGAGTCTTTGGCTGCGTCCTCCAAAGTCCAAATTCGCCGGCCAATTGCGTCTTAGCGCGGAGCTATGGCCTGTTAGAATTGTCAGACTCATTTGTATATGACCGACAAATGCAGCCCTTGTTTTTCACCTTGTTTGAAGGACAGGACTGCTGTATCCTCCGTAGCCTAGAGTATCCCGTGATTCATTGCGAGCTCGGAGGACAAAGGGAAATGGCGACAAACAGTGGTGAATATTGTAAATGCAGTTTAATTATATACTAGTATGTAATTCATTTCATATTAAATTCATGAGAATAGTTCATTTAAATGGTTAATGGGTCAGGTATGTGGCAGGTAATGTTTGGTTAATTAAAAGGTTGTATCTGTCCCTTTGCAAATGGGTTTAGCGGAAATTTAAGCACATATTCCAACATCTGCATTGTGGGGATTACAGTCTAATATCTGCGATAATGTTAATGCAGCTGAGACTGTTGGTCCTGTTAGAATCTATAGATGAACTTATTCGGCCTCCTTATTTAACAAAGCCTTTGAAGGACCCAATCCAGGTAGATGGGTGCTTTGAAGGAAGCAACCCTGAAATCGAACACAGCAATTGTTTCAGATCCACTGAATGCTGTCTTCTCTAGGTAGGAAAGGGCCAAACCCTAAGCAGATTTTTTTACATGCCAGCCCAGCATGAGACTGAAGAACAACACGTTTGCTGTGTGACGCCATATTCCATCTAAAAGATCACATTAGTGTTTTTAATTATTTCTATCTAAAATAATGATTTTTTGCTAATTGCTACTTTAAAGCTTTACTTTGCAGATACTGATCCTGCTCCTAAATACATCATGTATAATAGCTGATTTGCAAATCTCGTTTGTGTTTAAAAGCTGTTATGAGACCAGATTGAGTGAATGGAGTTAATCATTTAGCTGCTAAGCCAGCTGGCTAGAGCGTATGAAAACCAACATATTGCTTATTTTGAAATTAATAATACACATTACCAAGTATTTTTTTATTTCGCTCATATTAACATGAGTAAATTGTCTTAAATGTGCAATTAGTTTCCAGCCTACTTGTTTTTTTGTTTTTGTCTTAGTTTTTTGTTCCTTTTTTCTGTGCTTCATGCATTACTGTGGAAATATTTATGCAAATGATCAACCAACGCATGAAAACATATTTTTGTACCTTTTGATTTTATGTGTTTAAATCTCTATATTAAATGCTTTTTATTTTTGCCAAAGGGATAAAAATATAAGTCTACTTGAATGTTGCATTTATTTATACAAAGGTTTACAGGTTTATACTACTGGCTTCATTTGTTCAGATAAAGGGAAAGCAGCTTCATCTGATCCAAATGTTATGTTTTGGAAATTATGACCAACTTCTTTTAAAATGTATTTTATATTGCATGTTATGTTATCATTTTGGTTTCTGTCATTATAACCCACATATCAGAAATTGTTGTATTTGATTGGACACACACACAAGCAAATAAACTGCCTAATAGTGACAAGAGTCTTCTCTTAAATATGTTTGTTCTGGTTGTTTTGGTAAATTATTGCCTACCTTGTAAAGTCTAGACTGTATTTAAATTCCAAAATGTTGAGTTTTGTTCTGAGCTTCTGATAAAATAATAGCTTTTGTCTTAAATAACAAAATTATAGCCTGTATTGAGGTGATTAGAAAGTTAGTTAGTTAGTTAGTTAGTTAGTTAGTTAGTTAGTTAGTTAGTTAGTTAGTTAGTTAGTTAGTTAGTTAGTTAGTTAGTTAGTTAGTTAGTTAGAAAGACCTCTAGGGTCCATTCTAGGCCTGCTAAATCATCTTTGCCAAAATCACAGAGAAGTAAAAGGTTTTCTCCATATATGCTGATGACACATGACTTTATATGTCTGTTTCACATCATTCAATGTGACCTATAAAGTCATTGAGCAGCTTAATCGGTGTTTTCTTACACTGTAAATAAGAAAAGTTTAAGGTGTCTGCCCATGGTTTCCCAGAACCACAAGAGATTTGCATTTTAGTTGACTCTTTTTAAAAGAAACCAGCGAAAGCCGCTTTCCTCCTTATGGAAAGGGGAGGTTTACCCCCGTTTTCCTGTAAAAATATTTTATCAGTTTAATTTATTCAAACTTGTCACAGAATTGACTTAAGCGTTTCTTTAATGTGATGACTGTTGTGACTATTTTTTCTTTTTCCCCCCAATCTGCATGGAAATTCTTAAAGGAATGAGGTGAAGCACAGATTAGGAACTGATAGAGGATGTATGTCTGCTTCTCTCTCCTTGAACCCCAGTCAACCTCTGCAAAAGGCAACTCACACTGGGCCTGATTCTGCTGAAGCTTTCTTCCTGTTAAAAAGGAGTTTTTCCTCTCCACTGTTGCTGCATGCATTCTCAGTGTGAGGGGCTGTTGTAGAGTCAATGGAAAAATGTAAGCAAATATCAATTGTTGCCATTTACTGATCTACAAGGAGCAGATCCTGCAAAGTCAACGGCTTCATACAATCAGCTGAGCTTCATTAGATAGAAGAAAAAAAAATACAAATCTCTGTATTTGATCTGATTGAATTATCTCTTTAAATGTCTTGGGGTGACATTGCTGCTATAAAAGTAAACTGATTTGAAGATGGGCAAAAACAAATATGTCAAGACATTGTCTTCCACTTTATCGACATTATGAATTTATTTTTGCCTTTTCTTGTGTGTGTGAATTTGTTTTTTGTTTTTTACATTTAAATCAAATCTGAGTTAAATTAGACACCTAATTTAGTTTCTTAATATGGGACAGTTCCTTTCATAAGGGACAGTAGGCAACCCTTCTCACAACACAGTTTTAATTTAAGAATCTTCTCTGACACCAACTCATGCAAACGGCTATAAGTCTACACTGAAATCAGAACTCCTATGTAGGGATGGAGTCATCCCTCAATTTAACTATATTTTACTTCATACTACAGGTGACCTGCTGATAAATGATGAAAACCTCAACTTTTAAGACACTAAAATACTACAACATTTGAGAATGAGTAAAAACCTAAGATGCCTTAAATTGTACATACCGGTAGATATTTATTTGTTTAGTCATAAATATGGATATATTTTAACTGCAGCAGATTATAGCAAATTAAATATTTAACTATTTTCACCCTAAGTCTGTAGATGCACATCAAAGAATATATAAACAGTTATACCTGCAGCTATTTCTGGATTTTATTTGCTGGTTGGCCTTTAAGACCTTCTGAAGTTTCTTCAGATCATTTTGATTTTTTTTTTTTTTTTTTTTTTTTTTCCAGTTAAGAGGACTCAATGCCTCATCTTTTCTGCAAAGAAACAGGTGTTTTATTGTTTATGGTTCCGAACCTTTTTTTCTTTTTTTTTTTATCTTTTTTATCAAGTTACAATTTTCTTGTTTATAAGAATAGCCAACTGGCCAAACTTGGATTCTTAGTCCATTACGGATTATTTTAAAACATTGTTTATGATTTGTAAAATCTTT